GATTTACCGTCTCAATTCCTAGCAAAGTTCTCCTCTAAGTCGAAACCCTAGTGTTGTGAACTCGAGACCATTAATAGTGGTATTGGGTCGCTTCAGGATCAGGGCTTGCTCGACAATCTCTGGTGCTGTGATAGGTGTCTCGGCTTCAGGTAGAATCACACAATGTTAGACTATACACTTCGAGGACTAAATAGCTGAATATATGCACGTTTTTTTCGCATTTTTCATGCTTTCTTGGGCTTGGATATCTCTGGGAGAGGATCTGCTAAGGTGACCTTTGGTGATGGCATGGCATCAAGTTCGCGATCAATGCTATTGCATGCCCGCAAGGGAGTGCTGTTGGCAATTGTTGATGAGCTAGACGAGTTTTGCTGCCATTGTTGCGATCGGGAACGCAGTGAAGCAAGGTACTACCCCTAAGGCTCGAACAGGTAAAAATTTCTAAGTCCCTGCGTTGTTGTCTAATGTTATTTCTCATTCGCGAGTGCCATTACATTTGCAAATTGCTGTAAAGTCTTGTGAAAACTATACCTATACTAGTGCTGTCTTGCCTTGTAACATATTTGTGTGATAACTATACGTTAGTACCAGTCTCATGGTATACCAGTTTTGCCCCTATCTGTGAATTAACATTGGCTGGCTGTTGGTTGAACTGTAGCATAGTTGCCAGCTACTGGGCAACCATGCCAAAATCCCTAATCAACCTTGGTGCCAGGACTTGAGTGCTCATTCCCTGGACCAGCAAAAGCACCAAAAGTTCCAGCCTCACTACTCACCCCACAACCACATATCTCTGAACAATAAATATTGTCATACTAAAGGCCAACAGGAGAACAACACAAAGTGCATGTGAGCCATTAACATTGAGTAACAAACTTACTACTATCACCAAAGGAGGGCATAGTCAGGCCAGTGACTGTGGGGCCCTCAGGGCCCCTCTTTTGGCCATAGGGCATCTGCACCTTGGTGGACATGCACCTTGGTGGACACCAGTGTCCACCAAGGTGCAGATGCCCTATGGCCAAAAGAACCTCATAGATGCAAAGGTAATAAAATTAAACCATGGGTGCATAGCGCAGTGGTAGCGCGCATGCTT